AACGAAAACAGAAAATAGATGAATCAGAAAAAGTCAAAGTTCGTGCTACGCACGATATCCTTAAAACATATTCGTTGTCTCCTGGGGTGCTAGGAGCGTAGCCACAATCGTTTCCCAGGATACGATGACTACGAACAATAGTTTAGCACTCAAACTAAAGTTCCAACAACGTGAACAAAGGTAGAATACAGAAGGAATTTTGCAGAATGGCTGGAGAGTTTTTGAGCTAAAGAGAAGGTATAGTTCGTGTATCAAGTTGTATTGTTGTAAACCATCTGCCAGCCTTATATAGGGGTGATTTTGTTGTGTGTTAATGGGAGTTTAATGAACATGAACGTTGGTATTCAATAGTCAGCTCGTTGGCACATTGATTTGTCTAGAAAACGTTGCATTCATTGCCAAGAAATGTTGGGCATTTATGCTGCAACGTTTCAGTTCACCATGGAGCAAAAAATAAAATAGGAACGTACCGGAAGAACAAAAGTTAATGTTATCTTTAGAAGATAGCTTTTCGAACGGCATTCGTGTCCGCAGGTCGCCCGCACACGCAAGTCGCGTTTTTTGTTCTCCGGTTTCGGGATTTGATTCGCACCCCCTGCGCACGAGAGAGAGCTTTTCCCTTTAGGAATCTTAACTCCTTAGAAGATGTTTCCCTTTATAAAGGGTTCAAAGTCCCTTGGGTTTTCCGGTGTGAGAAAAAACCACACTAGAAATCCATTTTTTCCTAGTTTTCTCCATTTCAACGAGTGAACTTTGAGAATCAATTTCTCATTCACTCGTTATCCGTTTTGAGCGTACCATATATCGAATTGTAGGCCTAAGCAAGGAAAATCTGAAACCACTTTGACCTGACCCAAATCGGAGGTGGACACCACTCGAAAAATTGCCCTAAAATGACCATTTAATGCAATTTATGAACACATTTTCCAACATTAACTTCTTCTCCCCCTTCATTTTATTTTTTTTACGATCTTCATACACGAAAGTGAGTCTGTAAATTCCTCAATTTCAGAAAAAATTGACACGAAAGTGAAGTGGCAACAGCCTGGTCTTATGGAATTCTTGATGGGAGGGACGATACCAAAAACTAATATGGAGCAGGAAGTTTATTCTACTATTCCATAGTAACTTGTTCTTCTTTTTTAGAATTAACAATTTGATTATATAGTTGCCAATAACTGACATTGACCAATAATGTATAACTAATTATGTATTACAAATATTCGAAAAAAAATCATATTTAAAAAACTTACATCTAGAAACATATACGATACTCTGATTCGTTTTACATAATGCTTCATATGATTTTTTTCATAATAATAATAGTAGAGTGACCTAACGTTCAAGCTCAGAGTATTAAACAACATCCAGTTAGGGTTGGATTCGGGTCGGGCCACCCGGCCCAGTTCTCGGGTCCGGGTCGGGCCTAGGCCCGGTGGGGGCGGGTCCGGGCTCGGGTCTTACATTTGGCGAACCGACCCGGCCGGGTCGGGCCCGGGTCCGGACCGAATTGATTTTTTCTTTTTCCATTTTTTGGGGTTCCACTCGGGTTGGGCTTGATGGTTAGGAGGGGTTTGGGGGTGAGGGGGGGTTAGGAAAGCACAAAAAAAAAAAACGAAACCGAAGGCCCGGCCCGGCCCCGGACCGGCCCCGGTGGCTACCCGGGCCGGTCCCGGGTCCACCACTGCATCCAGTCAATGCAGTCATTCACACTGAAAGTGATTATGATGGAATATTTTTGAAAAAGTACAAAAATACCCTTTAAACTTTCGGACATAGGGCAAGGTGTACGAATAAAAGAACTTCCTCCCCTACTCAAATACCCCATCGCTGGTTTTCGTTCGAGCTTCTGCGGGCCGCAATTCCAGGTCCCCAGTGAAGGTTCTTCGTTCCCACATTTTTGACCTTCCTTCTCGAATCAGGTAATAATCTATTCCTCTACAGGTCTGATTTTGAGGATGGAACGAACAGATGGCGACGACAAAATTAAAGACCTCTGCTTCACTGCGTTCAAATGGCACCGACATAGGAGAGAGGATGGAACGAGCAGATGTGTACAGGGCTGGGGGATCGTAGTTATTTGAGGGTTATTTTGGGGGGTTAGGGGATTTATTTGCCATTATCATTAGTCATAAAGTTGGGGGTATTTACTACTTTACCTATAAGCTATTAAAAGCTGGGCTGGGGTAGCTTTTAGATTTTGGCTTTAAAGCACTTTTTTTAAACCAAAGTTGGGGTTACCAAACACTTAAGATTGCTTTTTTTAATCTAAAAGCTCAAAGCACTTTTTTTAAGCAAACAAAAACACTCCCTAAGTTCAAGCTCAGAGTATTAAACAACATCCAGTCAATGCAGTCATTCACATTAATTAACTTGCCTGGGATACCACATGTGTGTGGGATACTCAAAGCGCTTCGTATGCATTTCATCAGTCTCAACCTCTACTACTATGGTGCTTGGGTTCTGGCCTTAGAAACTAGAAAGTAGAATGGGAAAAGCTCCTCTCCGTCTTTTGCTACAGCGTAGTGGAAGTTTGCTTGATAATTTGCCTCTTTTCCCGAAGCCACGTCCTTAACCACCATGGTTATGAAATAAACGTAGTAATGTACCAGTTCCAGCTCCGGACTCTCCGGGTTCTCGGCTTTGTGCATCTTTATTTCACGACGAGCTGCCTCATAAACAATATCTTTATGGGTTGCATACTTTCATCATTCTCCATGTCCATAGGCAGAATCCCGTCAATGATACCAATACCCTTCGGCCATAATTTCATATCCGCATGAAAACCTTGATAGATGCAAACGTGAGCCTGGTAAGCTAAGAATAACTACGTTTAATCTTCCGTCAGGGTCGCCCACAATAACCATCGTCACCGCTTTCCTCGTCTTCTGTCTTAGCCCTCTTCTGAAGTGGTGAACCATCATCTTCCTTAGAACTCTCCTCCTCGTCTAGTTCCTCCGCCTCATCCTCAAATCCTGAATCGAAATAAATCGGAAGCAGGCTCATGGTTGGCATCTTCAGCCTACTGGATCTGTTCATGTCTTGTTTATTATTGTCATTATTATATATTACTATAGTAAACAAAATATGGTCAAAATAAGGTACATATATAAAGCAAAAGTCATGGTGTTGTAATCCTGAATTATTATCATCAAATCATGATGTACTCTCCACATTAGGGTGATGTACTCATATCACTCTTGTTGTTTATCAGTTATTCAGTTATAACTTATTCCTATTTTAATTAGTTCAGTCATCAAATTTCAAAATTATATCACGTAATTTCAAATTTAAATAAAAAAAAATGGAGTGTGAGGAAATACATGGGGAAATAATTAATCTATCCTAAATAATAGAAATTTCAATTCTGTTAGAGTGTAAAATAAGTTTAACTAGATTCTAGCCATTTCTGTTACAACTTACAAGGCTTTGTTTGCAAGTGCTTGTGTTTAAATAAAAGCACTTTTTGGGAGAAAAAAATGATTAGTAATAAAAGTTGGTAGTGTTTGGTAAAATAAGTGTTTTTTGTGTAATAGAAAAAGTAAAAAGTAGATTCTACACGAAAACCGAGAAAGTAAAAGTTGCTAGTGTTTGGTAAAATAAATGTTTTTTCTTAAAAAAAAAAAGCCACAAACACTTTATTTAAGTGTTTGCAAACAAGCCCTAAAATTACAGCAAAACGACAGTCCAAAATACAGCAAGACAGAACGGAGGGGAGTGCTAAATTGCCACTGTAGAGTGTAGAGTATAGACTAGACTCTAGAGTGATCGAGAGAAGAGATGGACATGGACTGGTCCTAAATTGCCAAATAAATGAAAAGTTGTCACGCTGTGCCTGTGCGTAGCAAGAATGTTGCTCCTCATTGTCTCATGTATGTCCCCTATAGGTGTCACTTTTAAGGGAAAAAAGTGCATAGAAGAAGTGGGCGGCCACTTATTTTTTACTTCCACTGAAATAACTAACTTCATACGGAGTAAAAATAATTTAGCAAAAAAATGGTGGTCATTAAGCAATCTGTGATGTCTGAATACCAGACCTCTTCAAAACCTTGTGAATGATGCTAACCATTTTATTTTGACGTTGTCTTTTAGAATCACCAGAATGAGCAATCAGTTTATGTCACCGCTGATTTTAAGTGATCACTTTCCTAGGAGCAGTAGTATGAATGAAGGCTGCGTATAATTGTATGGAGATTGCCACAAGTAGTATTGTTACGAGGGTAAACTAGATTCGTGTCATGCTTTTTATGAAGGTAAACTAGACATTTAACTAATTTTATTTATTACTCCTCAATTTCTAATTTGAGGGTTGTGGTTAGTATTATATAGGCCTGGACTCGGGCCGGGCGACCCGACCCGGAACCGGCCCGGTGGCCCGGTCCACCGGCGGTTCGGGTCGAACCGGCCCGGTTGTTCCCGGTTCCGGGCCCGGGCCTTCCATATGGTGAACCGGCCCGGCCGGTTCGGGCCCGGTCCGGGCCGGAAATAATTTTTTTATTTTTTTTTTGAAAATTTTTTAAGTTTTGGGTTAGATTAGGTATTTTGGTCCATTTGAGGTGGTTTGGGGTGGTTTGGAGTTGAGGAAGAGGGGTAGGGGATTAAATAAAGAAGCCAAAAAAAAATAGGGCGGGTGGCCCGGCCCGGAACCGGCCCGGTCTGGGCCGGAACCGGCCCGGTCTGGGCTGGAACCGGCCACCCCCGGTTCGGGCTCGGGCCTCAATATTCTGAACCGAGGCCCGGCCGGGCCCAGGCCCGAGGCCCGGTTCAGTCCAGCCCTAGTATTATAGCATCTGGGAATAGTCTCCAAAACTTTTAAAACTCTTAGGTCTGCGGCTAAAACTAGATTAGTTCACAGTCCATCCAACTATCCAAGTATCTCAATGAATGACAGGCAATATTGATGAGGGTTTACCAAAATTTAAATCGTTGAACTAAGTCATGGAAACTGAACAATCTTCAGATCCCCATCTAGCAAGTAGCCAATTCAGATGGCACTGAGGGCCAGAGATGGTTTGTTATTAGGAAAAAAGCCTAGTAATTCAACAGTCGATAAGATATTTAGACACGTCTCTAAACAAACACAGAGTTTGAGCAGCTATCTACATAAAAGTTTTTTTTTTGTGTTTTGGGAGTCCCCAAATTATTTATCCAACATATCTTCTCAGTAACAAGGCGAAAGGAGGGGAAAGAAAAAGAAAGAAAGAAACATGTGTAACAAATAAATGCAACCAAGTCTAACCCGCTTCCCCCCAAGCTTGCTACCCTCCAGCAATATTTACAAAAAAGGAGAAAACAGCCCTACTAAAACACTACTGCTCCTTGCTGCCTCCATCTTCAGGGGAGATAGGAATCTATCTTTTCTCTCGCTTCAACAAGCCTGGAAATTGTTATTACTACTCCCAGTGTGCACTAATAAGTGAGAGACAGTAAAAATGCCTCAAAACTGGCATGAAGTTCCAAGCCTCTGCCTCTGCCTCTGACCAAGAGTCACTGACTTCCTCTTCCCGAAGGCTGGTGGCAACAGCTCGAGAAACTTCTCTAGAAATACTGCCCACTCTTCCTCGTTCATATCTGACACCTTGACAAAACTGGCACTTGCGGGAAGCTGCTCGTTTGCACTACGGTGGCCAGAAGATGATGATGAACTCTCTAGCTTTGGTCCTCCTAGCAAACTGGTTTTCTTAAGAGACGTGGATAGCTTTAAAACAGTTGCATTCTTGGTGGAAATCTTTTTCTCTTCCTCACAGTTCTCCTCTTCCTCCTCAATGCTTTCATCCAGTTTTGACAGTGAAGCATGAAAATGATTCTTGCTTGTGAAATCAGAGAAGGGCATTTTTGGATTAAAATAGAGTCCGGTCATATCTTCTTCATAATCTATCTCAAACTGAAACTCATCATCGTCAAGTACAGAACCAAGTGCAGGGAGTAATTCCTTCTCAGCAACCAGCCTTCGAGCCTCAATGCAAACAACTTCAAGCTCACTTGGTTCCTCTTCGCCACTACGGAATTCTCTACTCATCATTTCACCAATCTCAGCAAGGCACAGTCCATAGGAAGCTGCTTCCTTGAGGAAAATGGTGGACAGGGTCAAGACTCGAAGACAGGCTTCACGAATCATAGGTAGCTCAGTTCGCAGCATCTCAGAGTCTTTTAGAGGGTCAAGTCTATCTATATAATCAAGCTCATCGTCAGAGAATGGAATGGAAGCCTGTGGCCAATGAATCCACTCAAAATATGGATCCTCCAAGTTTTCTGGTAAACAGAGACCATGATCAATGGGAATGAGTTCCACCTGACCAAACCCCCCAATACCATCAAGTTTCCTGACTAGAAGATTTCCGGCATGTCTATCTGTGTTAAAAATCCTAACATCTAATATCCCAATCCGGTGCACAGCAGAAACAGGGAAACTTGACGTTCCGTGGTCGCTGGCATCAAAATCATGAGGGATGAACTGCTGAAAAGATGCAATCTTGCTAACAAAACGCTTCTTCTTGTTGTTAATATGCTTGTTTCCGTTCACACCATCATTAACGTTAAATATTGAATGTGTGATTTTCACCAAAGCTGTTGGTGGGACATTGGCAAAATGATCATAATCAAGAAGATATGCAGCAACCTCTCTGAAACCTGTTTCACCAACCCTAACCGACCGTTTCAAGCCAGGCTGCCCAAGACCTTTGCCCACAAATCCTTTTGGGTTGTTGGGAGCATAGGGTTCTTCATCTGTTGGCTTCACAATAGCAACGCTCTCCCCTCTGCTGTTTCTAAAATAGTATGCTCCTCCAAGTCCACCGTTGACGGGAAGGGGTTCAACTCCTGCCTTCATTGCCTTAACAATTTCCTTGACAGTCTGTTTCGTCTTTGCAAAGCTGCTAGAGTTCCCCAATATCTCAATAGGACCACTCCAATCCCTATGTTGGACATCCCTGCCAGTGGGAGAAAGGCAGGGTGTTGATGAACTTCTATGCAAAGTGTTCCTAGTCAAAAGTAGAGGGGAATCATTCCGAATTGCACTGAGATCATTGTTCAAAACCATATCACCAAAAGTCAAAGAACTCTCCTCAATCGGGAAATTGAGGGCAATCTGCAATCTCCTTTTAACAGTATGTGCATTGTCACTGCGATCTAGCTCCATGCCCAGAACACATCCAGAATCTGTTTGAACGAATACGCGTCTTCTTCCGGTCATAGGTTTCCCATCCATCCTCTTGTTTACAGGGTATTCCCCAACAAGTGGGATTCTTAAGGGTACCACAGCCATCTGGGTCTGAACGGGACTGTCCAAGTTAGGAGACATCATAGGACAAGAGAAAGACAGATCTCACAACCGGCAACAGAGATGGAAACTGCAGAGAGTAGCCTACCCCGCACTCTCAAATGAGAGCCCAACTCAGAAGCCGATTGTGATTGAGCCAAATATTCACTCAATCCAGAAACAATCATTCAAAGAGGCACACAGGTGCGAACCAAAAAAGATCAGTGATTTGGCAAAACAGCTGATGACAGGGGACAGAAAATCAGGAGAGAGGAAGCGAACGAATCCCAATAACTACATTGAAAGATCCATCTGCCTAGTGAAGACTGAGCGAGAGCTCCAATCTGTAAAAAGCGAAAAAAGAATAGAAGCAAAAGTAATCTTATCAGAGCTAAGAACATCTAGAAATATAATCCAGACTCGAACAATGTTTAAACCACAGATCGAAACCAGAAAGATCTTCAAGCTTCCAACAAATCTCATGAAAGAAAATTTATAAAAAAAGTGCGTGAGACTTGCCGGCCAATGAGCAGCAGGAAAGAACAATTTAATCGCAACCTACGATACTATTCCTAGTGGTGTTTTTTCGTCTACTTAATACGTAGTACTACGTACTTCGCGACTACGACTAATCAAGCCTGACTCAAAACCTCCATAACATTATACGGAGTAAAAACAATTGCAATCCTATCTGTATAATCAATGCTACCATTATTCATACCATTTAAACCGTATTTACCGAAAAACAAATTTAGATTCGTTTTCACTAAAAAAGAAAACAAGCGAACACGCAATAAATATCCTAAAATTATACCTAATCACATTTTTAGCAAATCAAACCAAACAACCTCTTAACTCCCGCATTCATATCGAACCAACCGGCACACAACAGGCGATCGGAAAACATCCAAACGGTGCAGAAACAAGAGAAGTGAATATACTCACCTAAATACCAGATCTGAGAGACAGATGAAGGATCCGATAGTTTTCCCCTTTTCCGGCTCCCGGAACTCAGAACCCGAAAACTCGACGTAAACAGCGCGGAAACAGCAGAGTGAGGATTCGCGGACAGGTACGGCCGTACGAGCCAAAAGAACCCTAGTTCTCCAGTCCTTGGCGGCTGGCGCTGGTTTTCCCTCTCTAAAATATTCGTCCAGTTATCTTTCTCTATACGTCTATATCTAGACGAAGATAACTTGCGCCCTCTCTGTACGTATAAATATTGAAGTAAGCAGTGGATTTACATCCATTCTCGCTCTAGAAATAACAGTGAAGGAAATGCAGACCGCGAATCACGGTTAGATGGACGCTAACCATGGTTAGATGTTGTTACAGTGGCTTGGCGGAAAAGTCTAGAACATGAGCTGGGCGCCGTTGGATGTGAAAAAGACGGACGAGATTTCGGGCGGAAAAGGGTCAAGGTGACGTGGAGATAAGGGAGTGGTGGGTACCCGGGTGGGCCCAGTTTTAATTACACGTATCTGCAGCCAATTACGGGGAGCTGTGGTAACTTGTACGGAGCATTTGCCGGAAAATCGGAAATGACCCCTTCCTAAATCCTTTTTACCCTTATCTCCTTTTTTTTTCTTTTTATTTATCGTGAATGTTTCCCCGACCAATCCTGTCCTAATTTTAGTCGCAATTTCGTTGCCCAAAAAATTAGTGGTACGTAAGGTCGTAAACGCCAACCCAGTTTGGTCTTCACATTCTTCTACATATTTTATACTACCTCTCTAAAATTTTCCCAAATTGAAAGTGGGTGAGATTATAAATAGTGATAGGAGATATAAATTATTGAGGTTATTGTGGACATCTAAAATTAGTGGGTCACTTGTTCATAAATTAATTGGACTTTCGAGATATTCAGGCTGGGTTGTTGTTGTCATTAGGCCTTTTGAAAATCTAACGGGTTGTTCTCCATTTTATTGGATCAACGTTGAATTATATTGGGCCGTTCTTGACGGTTGTTGGGCCTTATCAAGAGGAAAACAGTAACATGGGTCCTTGAGCTTAAATTTAATGATCAATTAATTTGGGTCATTTAAAATATCCAATTAATTCAATTATAAATTAAATCTTTAAAAGAATGGGTCGTTCCTATTAATTTCAAGCCCATTATCAAAGTGGTTCAACATATAAGAGACATGATCCAATTGATAAAGAAGGCAACGAATTTCGTTAAGAAATCCATCCATATGCAAGAGAAATAGCTCCGAACCTTGTTAAAAAAAGTTGTCCAGGTACGTTGCATAAGTGCTAATTTTTCTGGCTATTAAAATGCAAGAAAATTGAGCCCAAAGCCTATTTTAATTGGGGCCCAAGGGGTATGGACAAATTTCCATAACCCTAAATCATATTTTCACTCCCTCCACACATATTTTGAGAATGTATAATTTTTTTGTTTTGTTTCCATAGTATTGTTCATTCTATTGCTTGAAACACTAAAATATTCCTTTTGTTTTGCTTAGTATTGTTTACTCTATTACTTGAAATAATTTGAAGATAATCTTATTTTAGGAATGGGTTGTTGCTCATATCCCGCTCTTGAGTCTTCCCAATTCCCAACCCTCTTATTACACATTTCTTCAATACTCAGAATGTCAAAAATATTTTTTTGTTTTCCATAGAATTGTTTATAATTTACTATATTGCTTGACACGTTAAGGACTTTTAATGTTCAGAATGTCTAAAATATTCTTTTTTCCTTAGTATTGTTTACTCTATTATGTTAAGACCCGGGGTTCCATCCTAAAAGGTCAACCTGATAGGAGGAGTAGCCCGTGTGTTAATATAGCACTTTGTTCATCCAAACGTTTCCGGTGTGGGGCATTTAACACCCCTCCTCACGACCAGACACTTCGTCTGGATCGTGCAATCATTCAATTTTTTTTCATCGGTCCGTTTTTTTTTTTTCATCCAGCCATTTTTATAATCGTGTCATCACGATTCATAAGGGGCCCCACACCATGGATCGCTTTGGCTCTGATACCGTGTTAAGACCCGGGGTTCCATCCTAAAAGGTCAACCTGATAGGAGGAGTAGCTCGTGTGTTAATATAGCACTTTGTTCATCCAAACGTTTCCGGTGTGGGACATTTAACATATTACTTGAAATAATTTGAAAACTATCTTATTTTACGGAAAATCAACTATTAGTATATCTATCTCATCTTTTCATTTTCGTTTATTCTGTTAAGTTTGTCAATATGTAATATTGATAGAGATCAAACAAGTATTATTTGTTGTTGTGATTTGAAAATATTACAAATTACAAACACAAATAATAATTGTTTGATCTAATTCGAAAATATTTATGTAATATTTTCATAAATTGCTCTAAATAGTGTGACATTTCAAACACAAATAAATATTTTCTCCAAAATATGAATAAGTAATGTCATACTTGGAAAATACAATCAATATTAAATTAATATTGCCACATTAATCTCTGACAAGCCCATATTATGTCAATGCGATTCCACGATGACTATATTTTACTCTCATTAGGGAAAAACATAGTAAGTCTATTTCGAAAAATCACATTTTTTTCTTTTTTTTCTGAAAATCTCGCTAATACTTTTGAACTATTTCTATTATCGTTGATATGTTTCATATGAAATCTCAAATTTTATTGGTATATTCGTCCACTCTAAAACAATACATTTCTTTTCCAACTTTGATGGTTTCACTAGAGCCTCTATGATGCTCATCCACTAAAGGGTCATGAGTTGTAGAGACCATTTGGTAATCCATTTTTTCATTTTATCACACTTATCCCCAACTCTTATATCTATCATATAATTTTGGGAAAAGTGTAAAATAGGGCCTCGAACTTACATAAGGTCAAATAAGACCTTATATAGGAGGCTCTGTCCGGCCGTCTCCATTTGGGGCGGTTCTCAGTGGAAGTTTTTGCTGAAATTGTGTTAGCATCTTATTCATTAAGTCTAGTTACTCATACCAAATTTCAGCTAAAACCTCAATCGGGAAGGAATTCAAATAAATTCTTGAAGATGAATGCGCTTTTAACTGCGTAGTTATCTTCAAGAATTCGTTTGAATGCATTCCCGATTGAAGTTTTAGTTCAAATTTGGTATGAGTAAACTATACTTAATGAATAAGATGCTCAAAAAAATACATCAAACAGTTCCACCGGGAACCACCCCAAATGGCATCGGCCGGACAGAGCCTCCTATATAAGGCCTTATTTGACCTTTTTATGTAAGTTCGAGGCCCTATCTGACCCTTTTCCCTATAATTTTTTACTTTGCACGCAATATTTTGTAGAAATCAAAATAAATTTGAGTAACTTTTTTTATTGAATTGGGAAAAGATATAGTAGATGGCTGGCTATCACTACAAGAAAATAGGGGTTTTACCCATACACATGTGTGTAGGTAAATATACATCTACCTATAGTAGTGTCGTATTATTGTTAGTTGGAATTAGTTAGTCAATTAGATGGAGAACTATAATACTAGAATCTTTCTTCTTGCATATATAAATATGGGTTTTTCTCAAAAATATTACTGAAAAAAGTTATTTTACACAAATATGACTAATATTTAATACAATATAATGTCATGATAACTTAAGTTTAAAAACTACACACAAATTACTATGATTATATCACTACTTCAGTCACTAATCACATTTTTGTAAACAATCTTTATTTTAGTCATAAATAAGTAATTATTTCATATAAGTATACATCAGATCTTGTTATCTCTTCAGCTTGCTATCTTCTTCTTCAAACTTTCTGCATTTCTTCTCTATTTCTGCCATTACTTATAAGCTATGAAGCACGGATACTTCCCTAGGGTAGCGTATCGGCGTATCCGATACGTTCCCGTATCCGATACTCTAGGATACCCGTACCGTACGTTCCTGGGCCGTATCTGCAATTTTTAAAAATTTCCATTTTTTTTGTAACTTTTTGAAAGTTTCCGATACTCGTATCCTGACGGATACCCGTATCAACTTTTTTAAAAAAAAATCCCAAAAATTACTTAATAAAATTCTAAAAAAAAAATGAAAAATCTAAAACTACATTTTACTTGGCAATCAAATAATAGGCCTATATGGCTATATCCGAATTAAGTCATTAACTCATACTCCGAATTGGGTACTTGCACTTTTAATTTCAAGATTGTAGTTGTTTGACTTATTTCTCATTTTAAATTAATGACTTATTGACTACATTTATATTTCGAAATACACTAGTGTATATGAGAAATATTATGAATTTATTACTAAGTATCTTGAAAAAGGAAAATGTTTCAATGCAATGAATGGCCGGGTAGACATCATAATATATTATATGTATGTATATATATATATATTAAAAAAAATCTATTTTTAATATTTATAAATAGACCCCTATAACTTTTAATATTTGTAAATACACCCATAACTTTTAATATTTATAAATATGGCCCCGTATCGGTATCCTACTCTTTTTGGTTTTGACGTATCCATGTACCCGTTTCCGCGTTTCCGCGTACCAGTATCGGTGCTACATAGCTTATAAGTATTTACTATTGTTGATAAAATGAAATATCATTGTCAATGGTGATTAACAATTTCATATGGTATCAGAGCTACTGTTTCACCAGATAATTAAGTTAATTTAATCGATCTCATTTTAACAATTTCATAGAAATAAAGTTTAAAAAATTGCATGTACATCACTAATAGAGTTTCCAGACAACATTTTGATTGATTATGTTTTTGGACAAAATATGACTAGACATACGAGTAAGTGGACAAGAGTCACTATAGTTCATTTCAGAGTGACAAGTCACCGGTAGATAATGAGTCACTAGGAACTAGTCACTAAATCTGTCACTTTTTGGAATTTTTTAAAATAAGTCATATTTTTGTCTTTTGAATTTAATTGGGAAAACTGTCAAATAGGTCCTCGAACTTTCATAAAAAAGTCAATTAAGTCCTTATTTAGGAAGCTCTGTCCGGCCTTCACGATTTGGGGCGGTTCCCGGTGGATTTTTTTATGATTGTTTTGGAGTATCTTATTCATCAAGTCTAGTATACTCATACCAAATTTGAGCTAAAACTTCAATCGGAAACGCATTCAAATTAATTCTTGAAGATAACTGCACAGTTATCTTCAAGAATTAATTTGAATGCGTTCCCGATTGAAGTTTTAGCTGAAATTTGGTATGAGTAAACTAGACTTAATAAATAAGATGATCAAAAAAATTC